ACATTCTGAAAACTCACGGGAGCAGGGCGGGGGGGGGGTGCTAGAGAAATCGCTGTCAGTAGCACTTCAGCAGGAGACTGAATTTTGTTTCTGCACACAGCTTGGGTGCCTCTTGTCTGAAACTCCAACTCCCAGGGATAGTGCCCTCTTCTGGCCTTCATAAGACCTGAATGTGCATGTGCGAGTGTGCACGCATGCGTGTGTGTACACACACACACACACACATACACACCAAAAAAATTAATGAATCTTTAAAAAAAACCCACACCATGCTCACAAAGATGTAGTTTTTATATATTAATTAAATCTTTTTTTGTTTTGTCTTGTTTTTCAGACAGGGTTTCTCTGTGCAACTTTGTAGCCTGTCCTGGAACTCGCTCTGTAGACCAGGCTGGCCTCAAACTCACAGAGATCCGCCTGCCTCTGCCTCCCGAGTGCTGGGGTTAAAGTTGCGTGCCTCCACCGCCTGGCTAAGTCATTTTTGAGCCCCCATTTTGTCAGTCATGTGGTCTCCATTCTGAGGACAGTACTACTTTCACGTGGCTGTGGCAAGGATCCAGCTTGTGCCCCAGGTGTTATAATAGTGCCTCGTGTGAACTAGGGTTATCTTTTATATCCGGACTCAGCATAGAGAGGCCCACAAACTACACCTGGCTCCCAGGGAGTTGGGTTGAGGACAGAGTTAGAAAAACAAGCCTTGGGTGTGGAGGTGAGTAGGAAGCTATAGCAGTCCAAGGCTAGCCCAACAGCAGGGCTAGCCCAACAGCAAGGCTGGCAAGCAGCTTCTTCAGCGCCGTATTAGATGCTATGGTCCTGAGTGTCACACTTGGAAACGTCCTGCTTCCTCTGAGCACAGCATATAGCATCATTCTTTTCCACCTGGGGACAGAGGAAGGGCACCTTTCCTAGGCAGGGTCATCACCAGGATGTGAGCCTCACTTCAGGCTTCAAGCCCCACGTTACATGAAGTGAGACCACTCGGAGTAGACACGACACCATCCTCTGACACCTTGGCAGCTTCTAGCCACTCACCCAGGATGACTCCCCCCCCCCATGTGACACCCATGTCTTCTTGGACTGCACAGCATGGGCTCTTAACCGTCTCCTGCATCGCCACCGTATGCTGGCTTCGGCTTACATGGTATTTGCTTTGGGGTCAGAGGTTTCAGGGGGGCAGATAACAACAGAAAGCCCTCGATAATGGCCCCCGCAATATCCACGCTCAACAATGTGTCCCCTGTCCTCTTGTCCCCGGCTATGGGTCTGGTAAATTCTTTTGTGCAAATTCCAATAGCCACAGACTTCCCCTGACTCCCAGGGGTCCTGCCGAGGAACAGCCCTGCCATGGGAAGCTTCCGGGCTGGCGCGGTCTGGGAAAGCATGAGACTGAGTGGGCAGAGGTGAGCAAGAGGCAGGGGCCACGGGGCCCTCAGCCACCAAAGGTGAGGCTGCAAAGCGTGAGTGGGGCGGTGCTTGGTGTGAAGATGGAAGGAAGGCTTCCGTTGTCCCGTGATTCTGAGCCCATGGTGGGTTGGACCCTCCCATACTAATCGTTAATCAAGAAAGTTCCCGATGGGCTTGCCTAAGGCTAAACTCCGACTTCCCAGACAGACCCTCACTGTGTTACTTAAACAAAACTAACCAGCATGTGGGTGGGGTCTCAATGATTGTCTACAGAAGGGAAGATAAGGTGACCCTAGGCTGAGAAGGTGGTTCAGTAAGTAAAGAGGCTTGCTGCTAAGCCTGGTGACCTGAGCTTGATTCCCAGAGCCCACATGGTAGGAAAGAACCAGCTCTGGCCTCGCTCCGCGCACACACCATGGCACACACGCCTCCCTCTCTCCGCGCACATGCACACCATGGCACACACGCCTCCCTCTCTCTGTGCATACACACACACCATGGCACACACGCCTCCCTCTCCCCGTGCACATGCACACCATGGCACACATGCCTCCCTCCACTCACACATGCACAAAGAAGTATTTTTACAAAACATTAGGTACCCTCCATGCTCCATGGAAGATGTATATATGATCCCGGAAGCATGGGATCAGCTCCTAGGAGTAACCATGTAGGCCATTGTGCTAATTCTATGGGTGAGGAAGCCAAGGCCCTGGAGACCCAAGTTGTCATGGCTATGAGGCAACAGAGCTGGGCTATAGCCAGGCACCACTGGTATTCAAGTATTTGAGAATGCAACTGGACATGGTGGCACACGTCTTTAATCCCAGCACTCAGGAGGCAGAGGCAGGCGGATCTCTGAGTTCGAGGCCAGCCTGTTCTACGGAGTGAGTTCGAGAACAGCCAGGGCTACACAGAAAAACCTGGTCTCAAAAAAGAAAAAAGAAGAGGAAGAAAAAAAAAAAGAAGACTGTGTGTGTCCATGGGGCAAGGGAGGTAACTCAGAGGGGTAAAATGCTCACCTGTAAACACAAGGCCCTGAGTTCCATCCCCGGCACCCACATAAAAGCCTGGGTGTGGGCTCACATTTATAATTCTGGTGCTAGGGATGTAGGAGCAGGAGGATCTTTGGAGATCACCAGCCAGGCCTTCTAGCCTAATTGGTAAGTTCCGGGCCACAGAGATTCTGTCTCAGAGAAGGGAGATGGTGTTGTGTGTGGGGGGGGGGGGGGGGATGACAAGGCTGTCCTCCGGTCTCCGCATGCACACACATGCAAACATGGATACACACATTTTCAAAAGTGTCCACGGTAGACAAATCATAGAACCTACCTAGGTGAAATAAAAGCAGAAGATTCAGGAGGTGTGTTGTGTGGACGTAGTGAGGTTTGTTCAACCTCAAAGGTCAGCAAACTTGGTGAAGCACAGAAGAAGGATGGTTGGAGGCTACCGCGTTAACTGAAATAAGCCAGCCCCAGGAAGAAAAGAATTGGATTTTTTTTCTCATCTGTAACAGCATTGGGGGGGGGGTGCTGCTTTCGGTGTGGGAGGGAGAGTGGGGAGGGGAGAGGCATGAGAGTGATGTGCGTGGGATAGCATCTGCTCTTTGAGTTCTTTTTCCTGGGTTCGGGCTGCTGCTAACAGCCAACCACATAACCTTGGACAAGTCACCAAACCTAAGGCCTCAAGTCCCTTATCTGTCAGCCAAGGCCAAGGACTGCCTGATCTGAGAATGGCCATCCAAAAACAACATTCCAGGGTGCTCTGTTCCCCTTCCAGCCCCAGAGACAGAGACAGAGTGGCCTGGCCTCCCAGCCTGCAGGCACTAGAACCTCCCATGGGCTGGCCAGGAGTCAGCCTTCTCTTTTTTTTTCAGGAGTCAAAATGAGTCACCATGAAGAATTCTGGGTACAAAGAGGATGGATGACTGCCCTCCCTGACTCCCACCACACTCCATCCTCTGCCCTGTATCTAGTGCTGGGCTGTGGGTCCTGGGGTGTGGCCTGCTCGCAAGGGCTCCTCTGCTGCCCTCCCTTCCTCTTATCTTCCCGTATCTCCCATCTTTGAAGTGGCACTAGATATGGCCCTGTCCCGTGGGACTGTTGGGAATCAAGGTTTAAAACTCGAAACGCGTTCAGAGCTGGTCTTGGGTGTTTCTGTCTGTGACTGTGACCTACCCGTCCTGTCCAGAGAAGCACCTCCCTGCAGTGACCCTGGTCAGGGACTGAGTGGCTGGATTTTAGCTGCTTCAGATCAGATACTATGGAGACCTCAGGAGCCGTCATTCTCTCGGAGAAACAAGACCACCCTGCGCCTCCCAGAAAGGCGGGTTGTTTCCCGATTAAATGGTTCCCATATAACCACAGTTGGGGCACAACAGTCAAGAGTTTTCATCCACTAGAATTTGCTCTCTGCTTCCTGTCTCCACATTCCACCGGGGGCACATTGTCACAAGGCATCAGATGGCCTGGCCATCGTTTGCCTGTTCACACGCCACCGCAGAGATGCCCTGTGGGAGAAAAAAGTTGAGTTCTGAGCTGTGACTCTGCCCTCCAGGCTGATGCCAAGGTCTGGCTGTTTCTCACCCTCTTCTCTGCTACCCCCAGGCCCCTGTCCTTCCTTCTCTGCTGGCATTTGTGGCTCAAGTCAGCGCCATCTTCTCCCACCGGGGGCTCTTGTGTGAAACCAGCTGGGGTGGGGTGGCACTCAGATTCCTCTCCCTGCCCGGAGCCCCAAAGCACCAGTTTTCGGAGCACTGAGGGTCAGTGTGTCTGTCCTACAAGGCTCAGAGCCTTTTTAGGTACAGACCAGATGTGTGGGATGATGGCCAGGCCCTGGGGTCTTCACCTAAGCTTCTGTGCAGAAGGCTGTGTTCTCTGGGCCTCTCAGCACTGTCTACTCAAGGGACAAGCAGGGGAAGGGAAGTCCACCTACTTGAGAGTAAAAAGAGACAAGCTAAGGGTGAGAGTCCACACGCCCAAGTCTCAGGGACCACCGTGTGGTTGATACTCCAGTTGGAGCAGGAATGAGAAAGCAGAGAAATCCTTGATGCCTTTTTTACCCCCTCAAGATCTTAAGAGGTTTTACAGCATCCTGGTGGCTCCATGGAACATTCTAGAAACTTTTAGCAGTGGGCCAATGCTGAGGCCCACTTATATTCTGATGGACCTAAGGTCCCAGAAGACCTGAGCTCCAAACCAGGACACTGTAAACAAGTGACTTGAACTTCTTTGCCTCCTGAATGGCTGTCTGAAAGGAATCATGTAGAGCTTGGAGGGATTTAGAGCTATCAGTCTTCATGTCACATGTCATCTCAGTTATTTGAGGATTTAGTGACCACATTTTTTGTCATAACTCCTGCCTCAAACACTTCTCAGCCAGAGCTGTGGTGCTAGCCTATGGTCCTGGCTGCTAGGTGGGCTGTCTTGAACCCAGGAGTTCAAGGCCAGACTAGGAAACACAGTGAAGATCCTGTCTCACCAAAGAGCCTTGCCTTCTAGAGAATGGTAGCAGGTAGACTGTGCGCTCTGCTGCTGGGCCGGATGATTCTAGATTGGTTTGCCTGCTGGTTCTCATGGGTCCCTCTCCATTTCCAGGTGAGCCAAGAGAAGGGCAACTGCTCTTTCCAAAGGAACCCAACACCCTGCATCATCCCTCAAGAACAAGAAAATATCTTCCATACCATATTTGCTTTCTTCACCAAATCTGGAAGGAAAGTGTTGGTAAGAAGTTGCCCAGTGACCGGAACCGTGAGGGTGGGCTCCCAGGGAAGGTGTGTCGGAAATGAGAGACCAGTGTTCTCCTTGGCATTTCTTATTTCTCAAATCTGGTTTTCATCAGCTGACTCAAAAAGACTCAAGGACTGTGATCAAATAAAATTTTTTCCACCCAGGGTTTCAATCAAAATGTTATATGAAAAAACTTTACGGCCCACCAAGCAGGATGCAAATGATTTCCCCTCCTAGAAGGAAGCTACAAAAGTATCGTAGTTCTTACACAACTCCTAGAAACCTCCTAGAAATTTCTGTTAAAATTAAACATGCATTTCTGAGTCTGTCTCCAAGAAATGAATGCATGTGTTCAAAGACATGGCAATGTTTGAGGCAATTTTATAATAGCCAAAATTGGAACAATTCAGGTATCTAGCCACAGCATAATGAGTAAACAGTTACGCATATTCATACCCAGGAATATTATAGAACAATGAAAATTAAATATAACTACTCGTGTTCCATACACTATATAACGTAAATAAAAAAGCCTCACAGAAATCACGCTAAATGAAAGACGTCAAGAATAAAAGAACACTCTGGAATATTTTGTGCATAAGAAGTTCAGAAATAATGAAGGTGACAAAAATGTCCTGTAGCATGATCAGGATTGTCCTCTGGGTGAAAACACACATAGACTATATCAAGATGCTTACTACAATTCTTTTTACCATCTTACGTCATCGGGGCTTTTCCAAAGTCCCCTTTCCCATATCCAGACTGCGTTTCCTTAGCTCGTTACTTCCGCCTAAGCACACCCCGCCCTCACTTTTGCTCGACTCCTGCCCCCTCAGAGAAGCCCAGCTGTGTGATGGTGGAAGTTTGGATTTTCATCTTTTCAATTGCATCCCAGCTCAGCTTCCTTTCTCGTTGCTATGACAAATACACCCTGGCATGAGCGATTTAGGAGAAAAAGGGTTCATTTTAGCCCACAGCTCCCAGGGTGCCGTCCATGAGGAAGTCACGGGACACTCAGTCGCCTGGCAGCCTCAGCAAAGAAAGTGAAAGGAAAGAACTAACAAATCCCTGCTTGCACTCAGCTCACTGGCTCCACTCACACAGTCAGGACACCTTGCCTAGGAATGGGGCCGCCCACAGTGGGCAGGTCCCCCGCCTCAGTCAGCACAATGGTGACAGCTCTTCACGGCCACCCTGATCTAGACAGTACCTCTTCCTAGGATTCTAGATTATGTCAAGCTGACCATTGATACCCGTGGTGAGGGTGGCCCATCATTTTAAAGGCCCTAGGGGACAATTAGATATAGTGACATCTGGCTGTGTGCTACACACAAGTCCAGGTTAGGCTGAAAACGTCCCCTGAAGGAGAAGCTTCACACGGGTATATACATACGTACATATACATGCTTGCAAAGATACACTTCAGAACACAAAAGGAAAATTCCTCCTTGGTCATTGGGAATAAACTTTCCCTTGGCAGTCTGTGTGGCTCCCTGGGGAGTCGAACAGTTCTTTTGTTCTTTAAGGCCCCACTGGAAATATGTCCCCACACAGAATTGGACATAGCTGGAAGTATTCTTGCTCAAAACTCATAAAAGTATATCAAGATATGTAAATGTTTCTTCTTGAGAATTGATTCTCCTTGGGAAACACAACCTTTCAGTAGGATTAACCACAGACCCGCTTTCTGCCAAGTTGTAGACTCCCCCGGAGACTATCCAACACAGCCTTGTGCCCACCGGGTCAGAGATCCTTCCACAGCCCTCTGGCAGTGACAAAGCATAATTACATCTTTAGCTCTGGGGGGAGTATTTGGTAGGGTATGTTATAGATGTTTTTTAAGCTATTCTTTAAAGCAATACAATTTATATGATAAATATCAGTAATAGAATTGTGTGATATAGTTTTAGACAGAAGAAATTAGGGAAATAGTTCAGGTTGCACAACCCCTCCCCACATAGCATATTAGTTTACAAATCACTTTTTTAATAAATGACTTTATGGGACATATGTATTCAGTGACTGGACAGGCCTAATTCCTATTATACTCCATGCTTTGGAGCTGGGGATGGAATCCTGGGCAGGGTCTGTCATCAGCCACTCCCAGGCCCTGCCTCTTCCTCTTTATCCTGGAATTGCCATAATGGATGCCCTGCTCTGTAGACGGCTTTGGGTGGTGTCTGTTTCTTAATTCTGTCTGGATATTTTGTCCTCAGGACTGTGAAAAGCCAGGGAGTTTCTGTCAAACAGTGCGCTGCAATCTTAGCGCTCTCCCTAGAGAAGAGAGCCGCACCATCGACCTGTACATGCTGCTGAACACGGAAATACTGAAAAAGGTGAGTCCCGGACGGCACTATGGCGGCTACCCAGAACCCCCTGGGATCAGCTCCCCACGACACTCAGGCTGCTCCTTATCAAACTTTACCACATGCCCCACTGGTGATTCTGCCACCAGGGATCTCAGTGTTCAAGAGTAACCCAAGGACTGGTCACCTGGGAGCTTATTAGAAATGCAGAATGCAGGGACAACGCTCCATGTAGACCTGGCCAATCATCACCTGTACCAGCTTCCCGTATGCTCATCTGCCCATCTTTTCCTTTGGGCTAGCGCTAGGGTAGGGTGTGGTAGTGCATGCCATTGGGAGGTTGAGGTCGAGGACAGCCTGGTCTACAGAGTCAGTGCCAAGACAGCCAGGACTACACAGAGAAACCCTAACTCAAAAAATCAAAAACAAAAAAACATGTGTGTGTGTGTGTGTGTGTGTGTGTGTGTGTGTGTGTGTGTGTGTGTGTGTGTGTGTTCCTTCTTGGGCTTATAAAGTCTCAGATTCTGGAACTGGAGAGATGGCTCAGTGGTTAACAGCACTGCCTGCTCTTCCAAAGGTTCTGAGTTCAATTCCCAGCAACCACAAGGTATCTCATAACCATCTGTAATGAGATCTGGTGCCCCCTTCTGGCCTGCAGGCATATACATAATAAATGAATAAATACCTCAGATTCTTTGGGAGATAGAGTCTGAGATGCTGCTGCAAGCTCACAAGTTCTGCTAACCTGGGGACTGTGTTTTGTTTATTTATCAAAGATTGGCCAGCCTTTTCTGCCAAGGGCTAGCAAGAGCTGCTTTAGGCCTTATGGGCCAGAATCACAAATATTCAACCTTTTGACAGTGTGACATACTATGGTCATACATGAAGTCAGGCTTGAGACTGTTTATTGACTTACACAAACAACAAACAAACTCAGTGTGTTAAATAAGTTGATTTTGTGTTGGGCTTTCCATGTTCATAGCTACACTGAGGGGTATGTAGTACAGATTCACACGCTAGTTAAGTCACTTACAACCGTTCAGCTCAGCTCTGCCAGCAGCCACAGACAATATCCAAATGCAGGTCATGGCTGTGTTCCTCATAAAACTTTATTTACACAAACAAAGCAGAGGGCCAGATTTGACCCCTGAAGCCTAGCTTGCCTGATGGCTTGTCCAAATGATCCCTTAAAGAAGTTGGACTCGTGAGCCACAGATCACTTTGCAACTATGAGTTTATCAAACATGGTTCCAAATCTCTGTCAGCAAATCGGTGGCCCTTTATAGAGGTTTACTGTGATATATTTTAAGATAAGAGCTTCCTGGGTGTGAGAAGCTTTGTGCCACAGAATGCTATAGAACTAATTAGGTATGAAGGTAAAATACACGTGTTAGCCTCAGGCTTCCTACGCATTTTTATCTGACGGGTCTAATTGTGCATGGTGTGTGTAAAGCCATCCACACGTGAGTACCATGGAAACCATCTCGTGGTCAGCTTTTAATTAGAGCCAGCAGGGGTGTACCAGCCTGAGAAGCTGCAGGCATCGGGGGATGGGGTTTGGCTTTGTTCCGTTTCCCCTCACCTCTCGTAGCTATTGCGGTCTCCGCATACTATAAGAAGCTGGACACGGTCTGGGTTCCCTAGTTTGGAAACTGGCTTGGAGAAGTTGGGCTCACATCTGGGTTTCCCTAGTATGCCCACTTTCCATAGGACAATGTTAGAGGCGGCTAAGTGTGAGCTTACATCCCACCATCTTCTTCCAAGGAGTCCCTGCCTTGCATGGAGGTCTGCACACTTACCTGCCTGTCTTAGCCAGGGCTTCTGACAGTTGTCTTTCCCAGGGACACTCACTTGTCCCCAGAGCAATGGTGCTGGTGGTGAAGCCCACTCTGCCATGTCTTAGTCCTCTGTCCCATGGCTGCTGCTTGGCCTTCAGTCACAGGGGCTGAGTGTAACTGTGAGCAGCTCCCAGCAGGTTGCTCCACATCTCTCTAGTGACCAGTGAGTGATACACAGTCTTATGGCCTGTACATGACCCCCAATACTCCCACACAAAATTAATTAACAGTTAATTAAAGGTAAAATAAATAGAGGATGCACGAAACCAAAATTACAAAACTGTTGGAAAATTATATGAACTAGAAATATTCTTTACCAAGGACCACATCTCAGTAACTGTTGCTGAGTCACCCAAACCAATGGAACCTCAGGCAAGGGAGGTGACGGCCTTGGGATGTCACACAGGGCCTTGGAGGCTTGTTCTCTGAGTGGCCCTGTAGCAGAAACTTAGGTCCAGAGTGCAGCCTGTGAGAAGACTGACTTGGGACATGGGACCCAGCTGCCTCTGTGTCTGAAACAGTGTTTCGAGCTTGGACCCTAGCACAGAGCCTTTAGGGATGCGACCAGATGGCCCCCAGGCCACTGGGTCTCCCTGAGGACTTGGATCAACACAGATCTTGTGGCTGGTCTCAGCCTAGAGTTGTGTTTATTTTCCTTTGACCTCAAGGTCTGGCTCCAGACAAGGGAATTTGAAGTTTTATTGTTTTAACCTCAACTAGTTTTCATTTGAAATGTTGGGTCTGAATTTTTAAATCATCACAGGATAGGATTTCTTTGGAAGTGTCCCTAAGGCCTTCTTCACAGCCACCAGGGGCCTGCTGCACACCAGCCCTTCATCTGTGAGGCCTTTAACCTAACCATCATTGTCACTGTTAATATCTAAGGTGGTGATAATGATGGCTCATAATAGAAGATGCCGTATCAGAGAACAGCTTTATGACTCCGTGGTGAAGGCGCTTGCTACCAAAGCTGTCTTCACATGTTCCATCCCCTCAGTCTACATGATGGGAGGAGAAAACTGACCACAAAAGTGTTTACCGACCTGTCATGCGGGCTGTGGCCTGCACGTGACACCAACACTCCTGCACAAATTAATTATGTAATTAGTTAAATGTAAAATAAATAGAGGGTACATGAAACCAAAATTTTAAAAACCCTTAAATTGCTAGAAGATTTTATGAAGCAGAAATATTCTTTTGAACGACCGTCCTCCAAGGAGCATCGTAACATGCATTTTTATGAAGGAGGGAGTGGTGAAGAAAATGGGAGAGCTAGAGAATAGCTCTGCAGTCAAGAGCACTGACTGTTCTCCCAGAGGACCAGACAGAGCTCAGTTCCCAGCATACACACGGCGACTCGCAGCTGCCTGTAAGTCCAGCTCCAGGGGAGCCAACGCCCTCTTGTGGTAAAGTACACCATCAAAATCCCTCTTATGCGACTCCAGGGCAGCCTCTGTGGCTCCTGGGTGATGAGCAAAGGGCCCCATTGGAAGTTATGTGTAGAGAGAAAGGCCTTCGTTGTTCAGCCAGTGTAGGTCAGTGCTGGCCACTGACCACTGTTGGCTCGTTTTCTGTTAGTGTCACAGGGAGCATGGGCCGGGTAATGTATAAATAGGGGAAGCTCCTTTGTCTCAATGGCCTGGAGGCTTGAGAGGTTCAGGGGTGTGGCTCATAGGTTTGGCCTCTGGTGAGGGTCTCACGCTACAAGGTGACACAACAGGAGGGGGCCTCGCATCGTGAGAGCCCAGGTCTCTCCTCTTAGAAAACTGCCAACACAGCATTGTGCGACAGAATTTTCCTAGAGACCCCCCCTCTCTCTCTGTGTGTGTGTGTGTGTGTGTGTGTGTGCGCGCGCGCGTGTCTCTGTCTCTCTCATACACACACACACACACACACACACACACACACACACACACATAGAAGGGGGGGCTCACCTCTGAATGGAAATCTACAACAGCCAAAGTAACAGCTGGGACTAAGTCCAACTTGGTGACCCAGTGAGCATTTACTATGGTTTCTGCAGGAGTGGAATGTACATGAGTGGTCACTTAGAGGAACTAGGATGACGCAAAACAGCAAACAGCCCCTGCATCACCGAAAGGCCCGCCCTGGTACAGGCGGTACCCCAAAGACTCTGCAGCCTGAGCTCTGTACCCCGCTTGCAGGCAGCTCCACCACAGCTGGCTGGAGTCCCCTTCCCTAGGGCTCCCCTCTCCCGGCAGCTGTTTGCTCCTTCTATAAAGCTGGGAGAGGTTTCCAGAATCTGTCTCCTTCTACTTTCCCAGACCATGTGACCTCGTCTTTACCTCCGGCATCACATGAACCTCTGTTCCTCTCGGAGAAAAGGTTCCAATCCCAGGAAACTGCCACACAGCACACGGACACTCTTGACTCCGCCTAATCTAACTGCCAGAAGCCCAGCCCTGAGTTCCACAGGCAGGCACATGGCTCCAGGGATCGAATTCCCAACACTTGAGTTCTAGGGATATGTACAAACCATAGTGACTTCCTCTAGTGACAGAGGAACTCATTAGTCAGAGCAGGTGGAGAGACTAGAGACACCTGGGTGGCAGAGCCCAGTCATCCCACAGGGGCAGCCAGGGGACTCCACAATCAGCAAGACCCCATCTGGCCTGGGACGCTGGCCTTTCCTGAGGCTCGAATCTTGCCAGCCCACATCGTCTCCGTCCCTGCCATGTGCCTGTTATCTGGGTTGTGGCTTTGACTCTGAGCCTACAGCAAGGCTTCCAACTGCTTTTGCCAATAGGCAGAGGTGTGTCCCCGCCCCCCTTAGACCTGATTTATAAACTAGAATTTTACCCCTCCTCCTTTACCCCACCCCGTCGTCATTCCATCAGATACCCTCTTCGGGTGTTCAATGGCTTCCGCCTCCACAGAGCTTCATTCAAGACAAAGAAAGAGTTAAGAATAACTAAGCCTTCATGGTTTTGAGGACTGTGGTCAGGGCGAGAAGATGACTAGAAAATGGGAATCAGATGCCTTCTGGGGAATGCCAGGCCGGGGTTTGTTGCGCACAACTGAACAGTTTTATTTCTCCTCCGCTCTCTGTGAGTATGTCACTATCAATCCCCAGCTATCTGGCCCTAACCACTCGGGAAGCACAGCACACAGGCTTGCCTGTGTTCCTTACTGGCAAAGGCAGTGGTGACTCCGTGCCCTCCACCATCCAAAGGAATTCTCAAGAGAGGCTGGAAGTGTATGTCTTCGTACCTGTGATGGGGAAGCTGCGTTTGCAATCTTCGTGGGACCCTGAGAGCTCAGCTGTGCATAGCCCCACTCCAGGGCGACTCATTCTCGATGTCATTTGAGGACAGTCTCATGAACTGTGTCATTTCTTCCACAGGACAGTTCCTCTGTCATCCAGTTCATGGCTCGAGCCAAGGTGAAGGTGGATCCCGCCCTGAGAGTGGTAGAGATACCTAACGGGAACCCAGAAGAGACTCTGGTGAGTCGGCTGCCCGGGGACAGCTCTCCTCAGAGAACTGGGGACTTGGAGCTGGGCTCTGAGGGGAAAGAAATCCTCCAAACCAAGATGAAGGGTTTGTGTAGACCCAAAGCTGTGCCTGCTCTGGCCTCCGGGGCCCCTGGAAGGCCTCGTGGTTCTGTTGTTGTGTTAACACTGTTCTTAGGACGACGTTGGTATGCGAGAGTTTCTTGTAGTGACTGGCCAAAGGAAAACTGTCTGGAAGTATCCTCATCAGGGCTTCAATTTTCACTCTGAAGCCAGGGCTATTTTTATCTAGGCCCGTCCCTAAAACCTCTTTTTTCCCCCTGCCTATGCTGTTCCCTGGATAAGCACGGGGAGAGGAGGCTGAGGGGGGCTTAGGAAACAATCGCTTACTTGTCTTAAAAAGGCTGTGTCAAGCCGCCAAGACCTAGACCCTCCTCCATGCTCCCCCTCGCCCTTGTTCTCCTTAAAGTTGTCAGATCTCAGAGGGGGCAGTGACCCTCACAGCTCAGCTGTCCAGAGAGGAAGACACTGAACAGAAAGCAGGGCCTTAGAATTCTGTATTTTTTTACTTGTTCCTGGGGAAGGAGGGGTCATCTTCTCTTTGATACCCTCCTAAGTGCAGTCCCAGGGGAGCAGAAGGGGAGACAGTCCCGCTGAGAACCTTACGACCCGCTGGTCTTCAGCATCCCTTCCCATGGAGTTTACCTCCTCTTGGGGGAGACTTGCCCCCTCTCAGGGAACCGGTGTCGCTTTAGAAAACTTGCGAACCGAATTCAACAAGAATTATGTACTTGCACAGAAAAAGATTGTTGGCTTAACTTTCTAACCACATCAGAGATGTACCATTTCATAACACTGGGATGTGAGGGACTGGGGTGAGGGTTTAGGGGGTCATGTGCTGGCCGTGCAAGGATGATGGATTCGAGTTCTGGTCCCCGGCACCCACGTAAGAAGCCAGGTGTGGCAGCATGTCCCTATAATCCTAGTGCTGGGAAGTGCAGAGAGGCAGACCCCTGGGGCGTCATGGCCAGCCCATCTAGCTAAAGCAGTATACTCTGATAACATCCCAATCCTGGCCCTCCTCCCAGTGAGTTTATCATGAGAACAGCAGCCCGCCTGGGGTGTCTAAAGCACAGAGGACACAGCTCACCAGAGGGTCACCGTCCCACATCAGCGCGGGGATGGAGTCAGTCCCAACCGCTTTTCACCTGGACCAGCTGCCCAGAGTGAAACCTGAATCCTCCACAACTCGGGCTCGGTTCCTCTGGCAGGTCAAATATTAATATTTGGGGTTGGCACTTGTCTCTTTCTCTCTGCGCTCTGGCCTCTTAGCAGCTGGCTCAGCACTGCTCCTGAAAGGGTGAGAGAGTGGGGGTCCCTGCTCGCTGCCACAGCACTGGTTAAAGATGGCGGTAGGATGAACCATGCCCTACATCCGCCAATGGAAATAACTAAGGGGTGCGCAACAGGTGAAGCCGCTTGAGAGAAAGAACCCCTGGATGTGCCGGCTTTACCCTGGGATCCGGGAAGCGCTGTACAGCATCAAGTCACTGACTCTTCTGTCAGTGCCATGGCGATAGTCTCCTTATCAAGTGTTGGCAAGAAGCTGTTGTTGGGGGTTTTCATGCTCCCAACAGGGAGGGGAAAAGAACACACAATGAGTATCCCAAGAGACGTCTTGAAGGCTCCTCCCACCGCCGCCTTTTTGGTCCGTAAACTAAGATCCATGCTGCAGTGTGTTCTCAACTTTCCTAGTAGGGGAAAAAAATCTTCTGAGTAGGAAGACTTCTGGTGTTAGGAGAAGTACATTTTCCCCCATGTGACTCTTCTGAGCGTCTGGCTCCTGTCAACCACCCCTCTGAAGGGGGATTTCCACAAAGGCTGGCCAGCAGGCTTAAATCAGGTGAAATGTCACAGCCTCTTGGATCAGGCAGCAATTGTTGTGGCCTTGGATGGATGAGGAGCTGTCTCTGTGTCTGGCGTCCATCAGGGCATGGGTGAGAGGAGGAGCACAATCCAGTTTTTAACCATAAATAGCATACATGACGATGAATTAGGAAAATCAAATGCTTCTCTTTGTGTCATCTCCCCCACCCCGCCCCGCCTCCAATGCTGGGAATCGAGCCTGGGTCCTTAAACACGTCAGGCAAGTGGCCTACCCCGAGGTACAGCCTCCTCATGCGCGTCCATTATTTTTAATGTCACGACGCAGTGGTACTACAGGTTATCTGTCAGTCGCTAGGAGTATGCAGTAGATTTTTTGAGGACTTGCTCCTTAGCGAACCCATCAGAGACGTTTACTCTCAATTACCCTTCTATTGCTGTGGTAAGACATCACACCCAAGGCAACTTATGAGAGAGAGAGAGTTTATTTGTGGCTTACAGTGTCAGAGTGTGAGTCCGTGAGCATCATGGCGGGAGCATGGCACTGGTGAGCCCCTCATAGTTCATGTCTTGATCCACAGGCACGAGGCAGAGAGAGATAACTGGGAGTGGCATAGACTTTTGAAACCTGAATGCCCACCTCCAATGATAAGGGGGCCATATCTTCCAATCCTTCCCACGCAGCTCCAACAACTGGGGACTAAGAATTCATGCACCACCACACTTGCCAGGAATCGCATCCAAGATGAATTTTAATGGTGCTTTCATGCAGTCTCAAGCCTGGGGGCCTTGGTGAGGTCTCAATGGCCACAAGGTCAAAGGGCTAGTTGTGAGGAGCCAATAACATGTTGACTTTCATATTCAACTCAACCCAACTTCCTTCCCAGAGAGTGAGTTGGGGTAAGAGAGAAAAGTTAGAAAGTAACGGTTGGAGTCCACAAAGTTTTGAGCATAGCTATGTGCATCCTAGAAAACTCTCCATCAGGGGCAGGAGTTCACTTCACAAGGGTGTGTGAGCTCCCCTGTCCACGGTTTCACTCTCTATGGTTTGTTCCTAGTCAACCACAGTCTGAAATACTAATTGAAAATTCCAGACACAATCAATAAGTACCATTACACAATAGTGTTATGTTTTCTCTGTCTTATGGGTTGTTATTACTGCTAGCCTCCTACTGTTATAAATTAAACTCTATGATGACGGTAGTATTGGTGGGGTTTAGCACTAACCACAAAAATCCACTGAGGTCTTAGAAAACACTCTCTTGGGGGAGAGCTTTGGAGTGAGTGAAAATAGAAATATACTCCAGAGACATCTAACCCCATTTTGAGACAGAGAAGGGCACTAAAAGATCAAGAAGAGTTAGAGACATCCCCTGCCCTGTGAGTTGACCTCAAAAGTCAACCGCCGAAGGAAAAGACTCACCAAGTGCTCTGTGTTGATTAGTTTTTTGTTTGGTTGGTTTTTTGTCAACTCAGCACAAGCTAGAATCATCTGAGAAAAGGGAGCTCAAATGGGAAAATGCCCCCATTGGATTGGCCTGTTGGGCATCTTCTTGATTAATGAGTAATGCGAAAGGGCCTAGTCCCTCATGGGCAATGCTACATGGGCGTAGATGGCATAAGAAAGCAGGCTGAACAAGCCAAGAGGTGCACTCCTCCACGGTCTCTGCCTCAGTTCCTGCCCTGAGTTCCTGCTCTGACTTCCCTCAATGACGGACTATAAGGTTTAAGATGAACTAAATCCTCCCCTACCCAACTTTAAGTCATGGTGTTTTACCACAACAACAGAAAGCTAACTAGGACATATTCCATATTGTTTGAAGATTTATTATTATTTTTAATGATATGTGTATACCACATACATATGGATGCCCATGGAGGCCAGAGGCATTTGATCTCCTGGAGCTGAATTTATAGGCAATTTTGGGCTGCCTCATATGGATGCTAGGAATCAAATTTGCATCCTCCTCAAGAGCAATACTTGCTCTTAACCGCTGAGCCATCTCTCTAGCCCCCAAGCACCCCCTATTTTAATGGGACTAGCCAACAAAGGAGGCTGGAGACTCCCCCAGTGTAAGCCAAAAGACTGTAGAATTGTTAGTTATCTGTTTAAACTGTGAGGTGTCCGCAGAGTCCAGCCAGCTCCTGTACCCTAGAGCCTGATCTCCTCTTCCCAACTGGGGTCTTCCCTCCTCGGGCTAGGTCAGACCCCGGAAGGAAGCCTCCCTCCTGCATCCCCTGTGGGTGCCTGAATAAACCTGCCCTGCCCAATAGGTCAGGACAGCACATTCCGGGTACACATACTCTGAACCCTGCCTTTCAGGTCAGGCCTGGCTTCTGGTCTTTCCTTCAGGCCTCCCCTTAGGAATCAGAAACCCCCACGTTGACATTCTAGCTCAGTAACTTGGAGATCACATAAGCTCTGAACCTCTGCTTTCTCGTCTATAACATGGGAAGACTGCTTCCTGCTTCCCTAGAGTTGTTGGAAGGTTTCAGCACCACCAGTGAGAAGTCTCTGGAAGGGTCTGGAGGGATGGCTCAGAGGTTAAGGACGCTTACTACTTTTACAGAGGATCTGGGTTCAATCCCCAGCCCCCACACTAGGTGGCTTACAACCTCCTACAACTCCAGCTCTAGGGGATATGATGTTGTCTTCTGGCCCCTCTGACAACTGCATTTATGGTGTACAGACAGACAGACAGACACACCACACACACATAATACTCTTTAGTTAAAAAAGCTTCTAGAAGAATGACTAGCATAGAGTGACTTCGGTACCCTGTCCCTTCCCACTGATCCCCAGCGCTGACCCAACCAAAGATATGAGCCAGAGTTCCTCAGCCAAAAGAGGCCATCCACAAACACAGCCAAATAAGTCCACTCCAGAGGGCGCCACCTGCCATTCCTTGGTTGTATTGCTATTAAATTACAGGTTTGTTGGTTTGGTTTGGTTTGGTTTGGTTTGGTTTGGTTTTCCAATACAAAGTTTCTCTATATAACAGTCCTGGCTGTCCTGTAACTCACTCTGTAGACCAAGCTGGCCTCAAACTCACAGAGATCCACCTGCCTCTGCCTCCTGAATGCTTGGATTAAAGGCATGCGCCACCACT